AATATTTATTCAGGTAAAATAGGCATATTACAATACATAAATATCACAGAGTAGAGTACAGTACAACATTCAATTTTGCGACAGTACTTGTACCTTAAAATAACAACATTGAGCACTAGTTAATATATGAGATCAATAGATTAGAATTTTTACCGAAATTGCAGCCTTTTACCTAGAATAACCCAAAAAGCTAAAAGCTTATTTCCATTGGGGTCCTTAAAAGAAACTCAAGTACAATTTTAAAATTGAATATTGGTGTTATACATTTGATACATTTGTGGACATCATTCATAAAATAAACTGCTATTCCATTAGAACATGATGGTCAGTTTAAAAGTACACATAATACTTTTCTTCTACAATTACAATAAAATTACATAGATTTGAGCGAATACTATATATATATATACGGACATTGATTCCTGTTAAAAAATGTATACATGTATATATATTGAGGATCTTTTCCATGGAAAATATTGAACATATGGTTAAGTCTAAGTTGCCTTGCCCTGGTATTGATATCCAGTATGTTTACACAACTAAAATCTTGGTATGACAAACTGTGTCTATTATGTACATTTAATATAAATCTTATCACCTTGTTTTGTGCCACTTGTAGATTTTTTTTATTTTTTTTTGACAGTCCTTCATACCAACTAGCACTTGCATAGACAAAGTGGCATAGAATAAGCGCAGAGCACAAGGTCTTCCTGGATTTGAAAGACAAACAACTACTATTCCTATACAGAAATTTTAATCTCTGATTAACATTTTTAATTATGGAATCAACAATCTCTTCACCAGATAACAAGTTGTTAATATATATACCAAGATATTTTACACGTGATGTAACTGAAATACTATGATTATTACATGGTTGCCCATTTCCTCAGTCAGCTCAAACATTCATAGCTGCTCTAGATCTGGAGTCCACCTGGCTTTTGAGCAGGTCCGTTACATGACCAAAGTCATTCAGCTGACAATTCACCTATGGAACAAACACAGCAAGGTACAATGGTACATGTTGTTGCATTGATCTAGATCTCCATGTTCTCCATAGTGGCATATAAAAGCTGTCGCAAACCTTCATTAGTGGATCTACAATGTAACAATAACTGATCCATTGTCTAGTTGTCGACTCCTGATATTAACTGAAGTTGCGAAGAGGCAGAAAAGATGTCCAAAACAAGATGTCAATACCACACTGGGGAAAGATAACCATTGAAGATTTCCCATCCATGAAGTCATGGGTAAACAAGCCCTTCACCTATATAAAACAGAAATTAGATTATTATAAATGTTAATTTGAAGGCAAAAAATGAACAGTACATTTCTATTTTAAATAGATTTATTTTATCTATCTTTTGTGTACATAGTAAAAAAAATATAGGGGGGGGGGCTCCATGCATGCAATGATAATATACAAATATTTAAATTTCAAAAAGGAAGTGCATGTGCGATTTGTTTTAATGCTCTTCTAGATTTTTAAAAAATACAGTCACATAAAACTATCAGCTTATGTTAATGCTCTCCATATTTAATTATTTTACTTTTTTTTAAATAATGTTTTAAAAAGAACACCTTTATTTGGTGATTTTGTAATCAAAATAGAGATTTAGATATTTAAATCTCATATAAATGAAACTTAATATCACTCCCTCTCTCTATATATGAAATTAAATAACTAAGCTTAGTAGTTTAATGTTAGTTATTTAGGATGGTTATTACTTTTTTGTTACTCTAGGACTCTAAACTTTATTTATTAGGCTAACCTCTCATTCATTTATCGTTTAAGGTCTGTGGTAGGCCTATGGTCTTATCATCATTTCGACACAAGTTGTCATGATTTTAGTAACCAATATTGTTACACCGCTAAAGTGACATATCATTTACCTTCGTATCTAAGTCCGTGGTATGACGCAGGATTCAGGCTACGCTGGCCGTTGCGAGTCTGTGTAGTTTGCCAATTAATACGCTGCCAACCATTGCATTTCTGTCGTGAATCCACGCAACATGTTTGCCTTTTAACGTCTGTCCAAATTTTCCTACATGACAATTCCAATGATAGTCGCAGTAACTAACATTCGCGATAAATTCTAATAAGCCTACCGGAATCACCTCAACCTCCGCCGCCATTTTGACCTCTGGGGCATGCGCAATACATCGGTAAACGGAACCATCCATTGTGACAAGAGGGATAAGAGGAAATCTTTTGTACTTAAGTGCGAAGGTACATAATGTAAACAGATAACTACATAATGACAAAAGACGTATTTTTGCGTTAAGTACTTTCAGTACTTAAGTGCAAAAGATTTGCACTTAAGTTAAAAAGTTTTTGCCATTATGTGATTTTTTGCTTCAAAATGGCCAATTTTCAACCAAACAGCAAACAACATATACTTAAGTTTAAAAAGTACATAATGGTCATTCGGGTTTTTTGCACTTAATGAGTTTATGTATTTTATACTAAAACGGCCCGTATGGGCGGTCGTTTTAGGATAAAATATATAAACTACTTAAGTGCAAAAAACCCGAATGACCATTATGTACTTTTTAAACTTAAGTATAAAAGATTTCCACTTAGGTGTAATTTTTTTTATTTGCACTTAAGTGCAAAAAACACCGGGAGGTTTCCACAAGAATTTCACCCATCGAAGTCATTTTCGACTGTTCCAAAATAGAGCTCAATAATTGGTTGACCAATGAGCAGTGTTCTATCCAGCTCGTATCGACCAATCAAATCGTGCATACTATCGCAGTGTGCCCTAGAGATGCGTAAACAATATGACGGCTCCTGTAATACCTCGTGTTAATTTTGGATCAAGCACATGTCACCAAATCGTGTCACATGATATCAACAATCTTGCTACAGCCAGGAACAGTCTAGAAGAAGATGGGATTGTGGAAAGCACGAGAAGGTTTTTAAGAGGAAGCTAGACGTTTTCGGCAAGACGGGAGTATGTACAATGTGTCATTTGTAAAGTCGCTGCAGCCTGTAATAACAATGAACAGGTACTGTACGTGCTGCTTAATTGCATGCTTTTTCGCCATTTCAGTTATAAATTTTGGATAATGGCAGTAATTATTGACAATGAACTAATATTTTGAGATAGAGAGATGTGCTATGATTCGTGAAATATTGGATTCAATATTGATTTTTGACAGACAGATAGCCAGTTTACAAGACTTGTTTTGGAGCGTATGTGAATAATTTGAGGTCATTCAGTTAATTTTACTGTCATTCTATTTGTAATTCTTGTGAAATATGGTGTCGATATCGAACTACTCTGGCACATCAATTAGAAGTAGTTCAGAGAAAAAAATCTTAAAATGTTATGCTTTAAAGCAAAGATTGACTGATGTTTTATGAAGAAATATGTGTATATTTTAATTTATCACCTCTTTTAAAACGTAGAATGTATTAAGAACAATTGTTCCTCTTAAAGTGTGTAAACAGTATATTCGACTGTCCATATCTTATTGAAAAAAATTATCTAATGGTTCCAAGCAGATCTCTTAGGTCCAGCTGTGCGGTGCGTTTTTATCCCACCAAGAGTTTGTATTGACGTAAGGAAACACAGTGTTTTAAGGAGATGTCAGAAAATGTTTAGCTTCCTTAATGTTCAGACAGATAGTCTCTTTAGCGAATTACTCAAAACGTTTCAAACAGAAATGAAACAGATTTGTTTTTAATTCATTACGCATAGTCTGTTTGTATTTTATGTGCAATGTATGTAATGTTTGATCATTTTACGTTTGGTCTGTGATATTGTAGTATGTAATATATTGTGAACTGTTATGTGTTCTCAACCTGTAAGTGGGCCTTATGGCCTGTTAGATTGAAATTAACTAATAAATTCATTGGCTTAGGCTAAGTATTTCAGAATACAAAATTATCAACTTCACCTGATAATCACAACTTTCTCTGTTTTGTTTAATTTTGGCAAAGTAAATAAACCAGTTTCATTTAGGTTTTTATTCTTCATGTTCCCATATATTTTCATAATACCAATATAAATGTTGTTTAGTAGAATTATAAGTATTAACTGTATTTCATGAGAATGATGTACTAGATGAGAGGGGTCATTTGGGAAAATTTCTTGCTGAGATGATCTGTAATCCGTATGCTGTTTTATGTAACTGCTTTTTGAAATGTGGCAGCTTGCAAGTTAAATGTTTTCTTACAAAACCTGAGTACGTAATTTGTTACGTTGTCGTTTGCCTCTCACGTAATACAAACACATGTTACGCTCAGAAGTTGTCTCACGTAATTCAAACACATGTTACTTGGTCAGCCATCTTTAATGTTCCCACAATGCCAAGCGTCATACTTCACACAAGCAATATACATTAACTAAGTGAACCTATGCTATAGGTGCTTCAGACGAACCTACGTTACATCCCTTTTTTTCAAATTAGAACAATATAAAACAATATTATACATAAAATTACCGAAATTATTTTAAACAGTATCTGGATGGAACAAACACATTCTTCAAATATATTTCTATAGCAAGGATGCACACTTAGGAGTGTCTATATAGGAAAATAGTCATTATTGTTACTGTTCTCAAATATAGTCCATATATATGTGCATTATGTAAATTTTTTATGTCTTGTTACACAGTTCAATTCTTCGCGAGTCACAATTACACTTCAATACTTCGCGAGTCACAATTATGTCCCAGAACTTGTTTTTTGAATCGCGATAAGTGCCAAATAACTTGTTTTATGTCGCGATAAGTGCCACTCATATATTTGACTGTATACACTTTACTCCTGTCCTTTGACTAGATAGAATGTAGAGTTCTTCACTTGACTAGACTTGCTAAAGTTCACAAGATTTGACTAGAATTGCTAAAGTTCACAAGATTTGACATAGACTTGCTAAAGTTCTCAAAATTAATACACAACTGATCATGACTAGACCATTATTTAAAATGAACACACTAATTTTTCACTACAAACTAACACTATAACTGGCACTGGAGTGTCACAAGTTACAAAGTAAAGCGTTCAGGTAGCTTTACGACACGTCCTGATCGCGTCTTTTGGGGCGTCATCGGATCCGGAGTCATGCCAGATGCAGGGTCACTCGGAATTCCTGTCGGAGTTTCAGACTTACTCGGACGGTCGCGTACCGGGATGCGCGAGACTTGTGGCGGTGATGGTGGTTCGAACGGAATGCGCGAGACCCGTGGCGGTGATGGTTCAGTCACTCGCGGAGGTTCCGAAGGGTGATCCATGTCGGCCAATAAGGGAATATGCCTAGAACTGACGGTCTTTCGTAACTGCCATCTGTTTCTCCTGTACTCTCGTCCATCCTCAGTTCTTATTTTGTAAGATCTGATGTCCACTTGATCTCGTACAACAGCCTTTTGCCACTGTTGTGTGCGCCCATGCGGTCGGACTCTCACTGTGTCACCTGTTTTAAGCCTTTCGAGCTCTTTACTACCAGTGTTGTAGTAATATGCTTGTTTCGCCTTACGCTCAGTCAACAGTTTAGTTACATTCTGCTGAACTTGAGATTCCAACAGGTGTGCTGGCATTGGAAGTAACGTCTTAGTCCTCCGGCTGTAAAGGCGTTGTGCTGGTGAACTCCCTAGTCCTTCCGATGGTGTGTTTCTCCAGTTTAAGAGTGCCAAATACGGGTCCTTCTCATCCGCGATTGATTTGATCATAAGTCTTTTCGCGACTTTGACAGCATTCTCCACCTTTCCATTTGACTGAGGGTACAACGGAGAACTTGTGATATTCTCAAACTCGTAACAATGAGCAAATGCTGCGAAGTCGTTGGAACAAAAAGGTGGTCCGTTATCGGTCACGACGGTGTCGGGAATCCCATGACGTGCAAAGCGAGAACGAACTTTGCCTACAATTTCTTTTGCAGTTTTGTCGTGTAATCGATCAACCTCGAAGAAACTGGAGAAATAGTAAACTGTTAGAAGGAAATCCTTCTGGTTGAGGGTGAATATATCTATTCCTACTTTCTGCCATGGTCGTTGGCAGACTTCATGGTGAATCAAAGGCTCTTTCCTCTGATCACTGGAATGAGTGTTACACGTGTCACACTCGCTGACAATATTTTTCCATGTCGCTGTACATTCTTGGCCAGTAAAGACACTCTCTGATCCTACGAATACAACCCTGAATACCGATATGAGAGTGCGAACTTTCGATCAATTCATGTCTCTGTGTCTCTGGTACCACCACACGATCACCTTTGTATATCATTCCGTTTTGAAGAGTTAATTCCTCGCGGAAAGTGAAGTAAGTGTGTAAGTACTCTGGCAGTTCATCTCGCGTCTCAGGCCAACCCTGCTGGATTACAGACCTGAGATGTCGCAACACGTCGGCATGTTCTGTTGCTTCGCGAAGGGTTTTGTACCGTTTCTCGGTGATAGGTAACACAATGTTTACATCCTCAACCTCCTTCTCTGCTACTGAGCGATCCTTAGACTCCGTCTACATATACATGGTTGGCCCGGGTTTGTAGAGGATTTCGATCTCAAATTTCTGGAGCCTTAACAGCATGCGCTGTAAACGTTTCGGAGCACTCAGAAGATTTTTTTTTGTGTATGACCTCCAGTGGTTTGTGGTCCGATTCGACCAGTACCGGCCTTCAATATGTGTAGGTCTCAAACTTTTCCGTTCTGAAAACCACAGCTAATAGTTCTTTTTCTATCTGTGCATAGTTTTCTTCGGTCGGTGTAAGGGACCTTGAGGCGTACGATATGGGATGTCCTTCCTGCATCAAACACGCCCCTAGCCCGGTCTGTGAGGCATCACATTGAAGCACAGTTTGTTTAGATGGGTCAAAGTACTTTAGAACTGGAGCTTGCGTTAGCACGGCTTTCACCTGTTCTAATGCGTTGGTATGTTGCATGTCCCAAACAAACTCGACATCTTCTTTGACTAACTGTCTCAGTGGCGTTGTGATTTCTGATAACTTTGGTGCGAATTTCTGAACGTAATTCATCATTCCAAGTAACCGTTTTACATCAGCTTTGCTGTTCGGTGTAGGCATGTCACTTATCGCCCTTGTTTTCTCTGGGTCGATTTCGAGACCGTTCTTGGTAATAACATGCCCCATGTAGGTCACTCGGTCAAGTCGGAGCTTTAACTTGCTTTGATTTAGTTTGATGTTCTGTTCTACACAGCGCTGTATCAACCCTGCCAAGTTTCTGTCATGGTCCTGTCCCGCTAGCTCGTCGGTGTCACAACATCCATATATGAGAACATCATCATGGATTGCTTTGACTCCAAGTAGTCCTTCTAGTGCCTCGTCCATCCTACGTTGAAATTCTTCAGGGGCAGATGAAATACCAAATGTCATTCTGTTCCATTTATATCTACCCCATGGAGTTGCGAACTTGGTGAGGAGACTACTTTCATGATCAAGTTTGATATGCCAGAACCCATTCTTGGCGTCAGCAACACTGAATACTCGTGCCTTACTCAGCTCTGGTAATATGTCGTCCAGAGTAGGCATAGCATAGTGGTTTCTCCGTAAAGCTTTGTTGAGGGATTTCGGGTCTAAACACAGTCTTATTTTCCCGAACGGCTTTGACACAACAACCAAGGATGAAATCCAGTCGGTAGGAACCTTAATAGGTTCAATAATACCTTTTTCAGAAAGTCTGTCCAACTCTACTTTCACCTGTTGTTTCACTGCCAAAGGGATTTTCCTCACTGGGATTTTCACTGGTTTTACTTCCTCATCTATCTCCAGATGAAGTTGTCCTGTCAGCTTTCCTTCACCCGCAAACACTCCGGTTTTCGCGATTTCACTTATGCTGTCAGTAACGAGGTTAACAGTTTCTATGTTGTCACTTCGCACTTGGATATTCTCTTTCTGCACTGTTATCATTTTCATTTGTTGAATTGCATATGATCCCAGGATAGGGTGTATCTCACCCTTCACTACCACGAACTCGAGGTCGTACGACTCGCCATTGACTGGATTCTTTACAGTACATCGTGCAGTTCCTGCAGGTTTTGTTTCCGATCCATTGAACATTATTAGTCGTTTGTTGGTTTTCTTAAGTTTATCAAGACGCCTGTCATTCCGTATCTTGATGTAAACCTTCACTGGCAGTATGTTAACTGATGAACCACTGTCCAGTTGGAATTCAATGTTTGTATTGCCTACACCCATGATCGCGTTGATGCGTTTTGTTCCAATGGCATGTACATCTTCGACAGAAAACATATATTCATCTTCCTCCTCGGAATCTGTGTCAATTTCATGAACGATATGTTTGTTCCTTCTGAGTTTTGAACTCCTTTTACGTCGGTCTGAGTGTGTAGGGGTTGTTTTCTTTTCACGACTGTTCTTCTGTTGTTGTGAACGACACACGACGTGAAAGTGGTTTGGTCCACCACACTTAAGACATTCTTTTCCCCATGCTGGGCATTTCTTTGGTGGATGTGAATAACCGCAGCTGGAACATGATGGACCCTCTCTTTTCTCAGGTGTAGAGTGTTTTGACTGTCGTTTTACGAACTGAACCTCTTCATTCATCATGCTTTTCAAATGCTGAGACGTATTCTCATTAGTTCTGCACACATCAATACACTTTTCAAGAGTTAGTTTCGAGTCCTGGAGCAGTTTTTTTCGTGTGCCGTTTTCACTAACTCCCATTACGATTCGATCACGGACCAAACTTTCCTCCAATGCTTCATAATTACATGTTCTTGCCAACTTACGTAAGGCAGAGAGATATGTATCGATACTCTCATTGGGCATTTGATCTCTTTTGTTGAAACAATATCGTTCGTAAGTTTCGTTGGTTTTGCCCACACAAAACTTGTCAAAAGCGTCTATCACCTCTTTGATGACTTTGCTGTTCTCTTCCGATAGTTCCAAACCTTCGAATATTTCGATGGCGTCCGACCCTATGCACGTTAAAAATGTTGCAACACGCACTTGTTCTGTTTTCGTATTTAGCCCCGAGGTATTTCATAGTTTGTCCATACCCTTTTGAATCGTCGCCAATTTGTCGACAAATTTCCTTTCAAGTCCAATTTTGGCGGGAACGGCATGGCATGTGCGGTTGTCGTCATATTGACCTGCGGCTTGGTCTGTGATATTGTAGTATGTAATATATTGTGAACTGTTATGTGTTCTCAACCTGTAAGTGGGCCTTATGGCCTGTTAGATTGAAATTAACTAATAAATTCATTGGCTTAGGCTAAGTATTTCAGAATACAAAATTATCAACTTCACCTGATAATCACAACTTTCTCTGTTTTGTTTAATTTTGGCAAAGTAAATAAACCAGTTTCATTTAGGTTTTTATTCTTCATGTTCCCATATATTTTCATAATACCAATATAAATGTTGTTTAGTAGAATTATAAGTATTAACTGTATTTCATGAGAATGATGTACTAGATGAGAGGGGTCATTTGGGAAAATTTCTTGCTGAGATGATCTGTAATCCGTATGCTGTTTTATGTAACTGCTTTTTGAAATGTGGCAGCTTGCAAGTTAAATGTTTTCTTACAAAACCTGAGTACGTAATTTGTTACGTTGTCGTTTGCCTCTCACGTAATACAAACACATGTTACGCTCAGAAGTTGTCTCACGTAATTCAAACACATGTTACTTGGTCAGCCATCTTTAATGTTCCCACAATGCCAAGCGTCATACTTCACACAAGCAATATACATTAACTAAGTGAACCTATGCTATAGGTGCTTCAGACGAACCTACGTTACAGTAATTGACAATAATGAGGAATTATCTTTTGATTATGAATAAAAAAAACAGACATTGTTGTATTGTTCAGAAACAATTTTACAAAAAACTTATTCAGTCTATCACCTGTTCGGAATAATTCCCAGAGGATTGTGAACAGTATACAAGATAGATTGTACTATTGATGAATTAAACTGGCTCAGCAGAAGCTATAATTTCATGGTGTGATGTTTTCAAAGCTTGGGAAAGATTATTGAATTCTGATTTACCGAAGGGCAGACAACTCTATTCTGAAAACCCCCCTATGGCATAACCCACATATAACTATTGGTGGAAACTCTTGTCTTTTACAATAACTGGTATGCTAAGGGTGTTAGAGTGATAAATGATATGTTGAACAAGAGGCCCATGGGCTAAACCTTAAGACCCTTCCATCTATGAAGAGTGTTGATTCTACCATATCTGGGTCTTTGAGAGGAAGATTTTTGAAATTTCAGTCAATTCAACCCTTTTTGGCCCCACCCATCAGCCCCGGGGGGTCAGTCAGGGCTCATATATGCATAGATTAAACTGCTATCCAATACTGATAATGCTTACCTAAATTGAATTACCTCCAATGGCAATTAAACAAATGTTAGTCCAAAATGTGATTTCCCTATATAAACTATGGTAAAGTTTACCCCCTCCCCATGGGGAAACGTGAGACCCAAGGGTCACGAAATTCACAACTTTGGTAGAGCACCTTAAGACCCTTCCATCTATGAAGAGTATTTGATGCTATCATATATGGGTCTTGAGAAGAAGATTTTTGAAATTTCAGTCAATTAGACCCTTTTTGGCCCCACTCATCAGCCCCGGGGGGTCAGTCAGGGCTCATATGTGCATACTATCAAACTGCTACCGATTACTGATAATGCTAACCTTAATTGAATTACTTCCAATGTAATTAACCATTAATTTTTGGGTTATGGTCAATTAGAAATGAGTTAGTAAAATTGATAATGAAATTAAAATCATCATTAAACATATTACATTTACAAAACCAGATGTCTTGAGACCACACTAAACATTAATTCTCTAATCAATTTATTGAAAGACCATCACTATGTCAAAGTTGATGCTTCTCTTGAAAGTTTTAACAAAGAGTGGGGAAAATGGTGTTTTTTTTTACTTCTTTAAACTTAAATTGAAAAGATTTCTATAGCTATATACCTATTCATATCTATTAATGGACTCTTGAACTCTGCCAGTTGGTTTATATGAACCTTTTATGCTTGTTTTAAGTAGATATTACTATCTTTGAGCAAATGTTTTCAATAAAACAAATATCGATGATTTAATTTCATTTTTTTGATTTTTGGAAGGCATGTCTCTCTCTTATCTGTCAGCCCTTGTCTCTGTGTCGATTGTTTTTGTGCGTATATGTCTGTCTGTGTCTGTCTGTCTATCTGGCAGTTCTTGCCTGTGTCTTGTCTGTCTTAGCCTCTGTGCACATGTCTACCTTTGTATTGTCTGTCTGTTTGCCAGTAATTATCCGTCTGTCTCTATTTCCTTCTTTCAATAAAACCACAACACATGACTAATATAATTAGTTTTTATTCCAATGTTTTGAAATGACATCTTGGTTATATATACTATCATACTAGGGTATTTGCTT